GATCCCCAATGCTGGAGGTGGGGCCTGATGAGAAGTGTTTGCCTTGTCGGGGTGGATCCCTCACGAGCAGATTAATGACCTCCCTCTGGGGTGCATGACTTCTCGCTCTCTTAGTTCTGCCAGAGCTGTTTGTTAAAAAGAGCCTGGCACTCCCTACCCTTGCTTCCTCTCTCACACGTGATCCCTGAACATATGGGCTTCCCTTTGTGTTCCGCATTGAGTGGAAGTAGCCTGTGGCCCTCAGCTTGAACTTTCCAGCTGTAAGAATCATGAGTAGAATAGATTATTTTCTTCATAAATTACCAACCCCTGGTATTTCCTTAAAGCAATAACAGAGAAAGACACCTATCAAATAAGAATTTCTAGAGTGGAAGAATTTGAAATAAATCTTTCAAAACCTCTTCCAGTGATTCTGATGATTAGGTTTTGGGAACTGCTGATCCTATCAGCTTTCTACTCAGTGCTGGGATCTCTTGAACAGAATTTCTTCAAGGTTTTTGTCTAGCCTCTTCTGGAACACTGCAAACTCACTGTCTCACAAGCCAGCCTGTCATGGATGCCATGTGTAGAGTTTGAAAGCTCAGCGGTATGAATATTTGAGGCAGAATGAATATTAAAAATAATCAGGAAATTGAGAGAGATATGTTTGAAGAAGAAACTTGGGCTCCATCACAGAGTGACTTAAGTGTCAAGCTAAAGAATTTCACCTTTATTCTCTGATTCCCTTGATGGGATCATGATCTTCTTAGTTAGGAAGCCTGCCCAAATGGATTGTAGATCAAGAGAACAGAAGTAGAGAAAACAACTTGAAGAGCGCAAGAGTGATAAGGACTTAGATCAGAAGCAGTAGAAATGGTAAAGAGGAGGAAAGTTTAAGCTGCGTTGCAGGGCCAGCCCTGTGGAGCTTGACTGATTGCGGTGAGGAACAGTCAAAGTTGATTCTAGAGTTTTGAGGTCCTGGAGTGGCCAAAATGTTAATCAGCACAGTGATGTTAGGATCAAGAGTAGGTTGAGAAGGCAGAAGGCAAATCAGATTTTTGACATTTGAAAATGCATTTTCATCACCTCCCACATCATTCTATCATCTGTCCTAGGGCAGAGCTTAGCTATGACTCCCTGTGTGTTCTCAGAGGTTAGCAAAGGCGGCACTCTCACAGTGTGTGGTGACAGAGGAGCCACTGTACATGTCCTCTCCTCTATCTTCCCTGCTTTAATTTGGACATTATTGTTCACTTGAATAACAAGTGAATACTAATGCAAGGGTCTGAGCTCAAACTGCTGTCTTAGTGTGTTTTGGGACAAGGCACACTCTCTGGGTTTAATTAGAAAAAGAGTCTTTATGTGCATGAATATAGCCATTTTTTCAGGGATTGGGATTAAAGCAGAACTTTGGGGGATGATAAAGTCACCCCTTCCTATAGGAGGAAACTTCCCATGCCAGGATGAAGGGGTTGGAGAGCTGAGTGAAGAGGTGGGGTTTTAGACCTCACTCATTTCCTCAGATGGCACAGAGTACTGGGAATGTCTCTCAACTGGTCACCAGATCCAGGCCTGCCATTTCTGTTGCACTCAGAGTATTTATTTTCTAAAATGTAATCATATTCCATTCTGCTTGAAACCTCTCCATGTTTTCCCAGTGCCTGTAGGATGAAGTCCAAAGTTCTTAACTTGTGACAAAAGTCTATTCATGACAGCTTCTTCTCATGGTCCTTCTCAGTGGCCACACTCCATCACCATCCTCTCCAGCTGCTGTCCCGAATAGACATTGCCAAGCAAGCTTTGACCAAGCTTCATTGTCCTCATTCTTGGCCCAGCAACCACTATCCCTCCCTGATCTCCCAGATGGCCAGTCTGGTTCCTCCAAGATTTGAGGAGCCAGATGTTCCTCCAAGATGAGCTACTTGGCTCATCTCAAGGCAGCTCTCTCTGTCCTAATTCCAGTCTAGACTAACGCTGCCTCTGTGCACCCTTCCCTCCTACAGTAGGATCCAGCACTTTCCTGGTGTGGTCACCCTACCTTCCTGTCTGTGACCTCCTTGAGGGCTATGCGTGTCTTTTGTATATGTCTTTTCCCCAAGCATCTGGCTCGGGCTTGATGAAAGGACAAGTGACAACTTGACTTGGAGATGAATGTAAAGTACAAATTTTACCACTAAAGCAAAACTTAAGACATGCATAAAACCAAACAATAATAGCTCCCCCACTCAAAAAAAAAAAAAAAAAAATTCCAAAAAGTTTTTGTGTCTTCTTGAACATGAGGCATTCTATCAGTGGTTGAAGTCTTTTTCTTTTCCATGCTTTTCTGTAATCTTCAGATGGCTATTTATTTAGGAGGTTAATGATATATGGGAAGAGAATCACTTTGGTTTATTTTGCCGTGGCGTTATTCTAAGGCTAGTGTGCCCTGGTGTGTCAATGTAGTTATCTTTGTGAGATACTACAAGAAAAATTGCCCATAGATTTAGTAATGTGCTTGAGACGTTTAAAAACATTTCAACCTTGTTTTTTAAAAAAACATTTTCAAAATGGAAGACTCTGCCCACCTGCCTGAGACCAAAATGCCATCAGCAATATCTCTGATGGTGGTTTCACACCTTCGAATACTAGACCAGCCCAATGATAAACTTTGAAATACTTATGTAGCCTATCAAAAGATCTCACTCATGACGTCTAGCCCAATTTGTGTGTGTGTTTTCCATGCATATTCCCTCTCTTCCCACAAAGAACGGGAAGAAGCTATAAGAACATGTTCAAAGAAGAAGAAACACTTATATGAGTGTATCACCTTACCTTTAGCAAAAATCACAACTAGGCAAACTATGGGAGTAGGAGGCCAACACAAAGAGGATGAGAGATGTGCCATTCAGGAGTAGGCCTAAATGTTGGTGTAGCTCCGAGCAGATTTTTCTTCCTAGAAGCCGTGATGCTAACGGTGAGTAGAAATGCGGCTCATGGCACAAATGTTTGCAAATGTTTTTTTTTTTTTTAATTCTTTTTTGACAGTCATTTTAAAATATTCTCTACAATTTTCAGCATGAAGAGTTTTTATTATTTCTTTTCCAGCTTTTCTCTAGTTTGCAATAGCATGAATGGCTTTTTTTTGGCTGACTTTTTCAGTCATTTTTTGGAAACGGATGAGTAGTGACTGATTTTAATGCTCATTGGACCTAATCCGTTTATTTTGCTTCCATTTTTTTTCCTCCACACCCTATTTATTGTTCCTCATGGGAATAACTATTACAGATAAGCTTAAACGGAAATTGACTCCTCGTTTTGGCTTGGAGTAAATGACACTGTGCCTTAGTTACCTTATCTTTAAGAGAAAAACTTGAACTTCTGAAGATCAATGTGTTCTGTAAGTGCTGGGCGTAATTATTGTAATGAGGACATTGAATTATAGTTGAACGGATTGATCCTTTAATATAAAGTATTTTGCATTTCCCACAAGCTGCTTCTCTTTTGAATATGCTTTTTAATCTATCTTCTATGAAATGAAATTTGTTTTTTTTTTTTTTTTTTTTTTTTTTTGGTTTGTGGAAAGCATGAAACAAAGTTTATTGTGGAAGGGTAAGAGCAAGATACAGGCTTACAAAGCAAAATACATTCATCATAGATGGTGAATGGAACTCTATCGCCAGGGCAAGTAGGCAAAGAGGCCTGAAATGAAGTTTCGTATAACATATTGTATTGATGATATTCAAAATACTTCTCCTTCCCTTCATGGAGTGCTCACAGGGACATACTACTCCACAGAAGAGACAGAATTTTCTCTTAAATCCTCCCTCCCCACCCCCCAGCATCCCAGCAGGGGGCTCATATTATGTACTCAGTAAGTATCTGTCAATTTAAGCTTGTCGTTATAAATAATTTTGTCATGTATTGCATTTTGTTATTTAAGTGGTAAAGGGGTAGCCTTACGAAAGGGTACTCTTAACTTTCCAAATCCTGAGCCCAGCCATGATGTCAAAGAAAAGAACAACCATCAAGGCTTCTGAATCTATTCATTTCTTCATTCATGGAAGACTATGTGTGGGAAAATGTAACGTGAAAGGAAGGAGAAAAAGCGAGAATACTGTTCTGTTTCTTTTCTGGCACGCAGAGCATTTACTGAATTTATCCCCCAATGAGAAAAAGGCCTTAAGGATTAAGTTTGACTGAATCCAAGTTCTACAGAACAAATCCTTTTAATCAAAGGGGGGGGGGGCAGCAGAGAATGAAGCAGCTTTTCTAGCTGCTTTTGGTGCATTATAAGGAATAATCTTGAAATCAGAAAGCCACAAGTTCCCTACCCTTAGATCCTCAAAAATGCTAGTTTATTTAATATAGGGGATTATGACTAGAGGACCTCACTCCTTTATTTCTACCTGATCTGTCACCCCATTTTCCTCTTTTGTCTTTTTCAATTCAAAAGTGGTCTGCGTGTGCTTTATTTCTGAACCTGTAAAGGGGTTTGATATTTAGTTGCATAAGAAAGCGCAGATAAGAACCCTAGGCCAGCATTCTCCTGAAATCTCTCCTATGATTTAAGACACCTTGAGGAAGGGATCTGTGAGCCTCTGCATCACCAGATGATGATTTTTTATCTTTACCAAGTGACCCACAATTTGTTACTGGTGCAATGAGAAATTAAGAAAATAGCACACTTTTATGACTGTCATTTCACAGTCACTCAAATCAGAACTGGAATGCCACAAAAACAACTCCCTGTTAGCCCAGAGAAAAAAAAAAAAGAAAGAAAGTAAAGGGGAAATTCAGATTAGTCACAAAGAAGTTCCCCCGCCTGCCTGCAAAAGTTACATACAGTCTTAAAACTGAGAGGGAGAGAGAGAGTCCTCTCTGCTCTTTCAATCGCCTTTAATCTCCGGTCCTAGGACCTTTGCCTATTGTCTGATTGATAGGCTTTGTTTTGCCTTTATCTCCTCCTTTGTGGGGAAGGCTGGCATCTTCCCTCCAGTTTCCCGGTACTGCATCTTCATCTTCCCTGCATCCAGATTGTGAAGATGGAAGGGGTCCAACCCCTGGACGAGAATGTAGGAAACACGCCCCAGCCAAGAGTCTCTAAGAACAAGCTCCTGCTGGTGGTCACTTGCGTCCAGGGGCTGGGGCTGCTCCTGTGCTGCGTCTTTATCTGCCTGCACTACTTTACTCCCCAGGTAAGATGCACCCCTGGCTGCTTTTTTCCTCCAGCTTAGGTGGATGGCAGCCACAACCGCTGCTAACAGTCAGTTGTTGATCAAATCTGATGCCATAGTTTAGCTTTTGCCCCCCTCCCAGTGATTGTAAAGTGTGGTTGACCACCCTTCTGGCTCTCCTTTCCTTCCCTCTTTTCAGCAGTAGCTGCAGTAGGGCATGGTGGAGGTAGGGCAGAAGCAGCCCAGCTAGATGTATATCTTCTTTTCTCTGCCATGCAAGAATCCTGGTATTCCTTTATGAGCCGTTGCTTTGAAGTAGGAGTCTCTGGCATACTTGGTCTATGCATTTTGCTAGTAATGTGTCTGGATTAGAGAATTAATATAAAAAGGAAATAAGAAAGAGACCAGTTCCACTTTCCCATCCTATTCATAAATTCCACAGACAGGCAAGGAGAATTGCTTTTTAAAGAATGTTGAAGGTATCCATATGAAGTTCTTTTAAAATAGTTAACCTTGCATTTTTTTTTTTTTGTTAACCTTGCATTTTAAGGGCAGCGATGTGTGTGTGCACATGTGTAAGCCTACATGTCCATGCATGTACCCCAACAATTTAATCAGATACTGTTTTTCAGTCTATTCCTACCAAATATAAAGATAGCACTTAAACATAAAGACACCGCAAATCTTGTTTCCACTTGATGTCATAGGTGGTCATCTTTCTAGTATTATTTTCTCCACTTAAAACATTCTTTCCATTTTTCATTCATTTTATTCTCCATGCTCCTCCTTTTTGTTTTTTTTTTCTTATTCACTTGTTCAGATATTACAAACATAGTCAGGTCTCTAAGAATATCTTTCACTGCAGGAGATGCCACTGAAATGAAAATAAGTCTGTGCTCTCCCTGTGTTCCTTTGTCGGGGCATAGTCTGATAATTCTTGTTTCCCTGGATGGTCGCTTTGGGTCAGAAAAATCGCTCCCTGAAAATGATCAGACAGTAGGAACTTTTATGTCCTATGGCCATTTCAGAGACTCGGTATCTCAAGTTACACCAGGATAAGATGAGCAGACCTGGCAAGTGCCTGGGCTTGTTTCTGCCTACAGGAAATGGGGGTTTTTGGTGCAGGGAGGCTGGTGGGAGTGTGTGTGGTTGTGATCATTGAACCGCAGAGAGTGCTCGTGTCCCCAAATTCCAGAAGCGTATCTGGTGTCACGCTTAGATCTGCAGATGGGTTAGCGCAACACGCTTGTCATCCCCGTCCCACACCACACACATCCACGTCTCTCTGCAGAACACTTTGGGCGAAATTAAAGTAAGTGATTTGGGAAGAGGGGGTGGGGGCGGAGTAAGGTGCCTATGGCAGGATGCCCAAGACATAGAATTAGGAATTAGGCTCTTCCGAGAAGAAAACAAAGAGAGTAACCAAAAATAGAACTGTTAAATGCATTCGTCAGGTGCCGGAGCCTGGGGAGTGCTTTTTCAAACAACCACAGTGTTACATATTTCCTTACACTACGGAACGATAAAAAGACAGAACACACAGCTGCAGCCAAGGCTAACCAGTTGCACAAGGACTCTGAGCAGGAGACAGCAAAAGGTGAAACTGAAACGTGTGGTGGCTGATGGCTGGCGCCACCTTGGATCGTCAATACCCAGGGGATGCTGACAAGAAGCGGGGTCCTTTCTGGAAAGTCATCTAGCAACTCTGGGGCAGCAGCAAAGCCATGAGAAGGAAAGCTGCGAGCTGGTTTGTAGGACACAGGGACTCACCGTGAGCCGATCTCTGGGAGGGAATGAGCTTTCTGTAGTTCTAGTGCAGAAATGGAAGAAGCAAAGACTCAGGAGGTGGTTCGAGCTGTTTGCTCAAGAAACTTGCTTCCATATCCTCTGGAAATAGAAACTTTTTTTTTCTCAGACATTTTAAATTCTTCACTTGACATTAATTTTAAAATTTCCCCTTATTTCTAGCTAGATTGTTTGAGCTAGTGTAATTTCTTACATTATTGTAGGATCTGGGGCGGCACAAAGGGTTTTTAGTTAATCTTATATTTATTATTTGTATTTCATTGTGGGAAGGACAGCATAGATGGGCAGTGTGTGTTTTCCATGGGACCTGATCAAATAGCATTGATAAGAGTGGTGGCAGCACACATGCATGTGTGTGTGTGTGTGTGTGTGTGTGAGAAAGAGAGAGAGATTGAAGATTGAGGGAAAGTTGTAGAGTAGCTGTTGAAAAAGTGGCCATGTTTGGAATTTTTAGCGAAGGATGGGGTGAGTGTTGATATGTTGATATAAATCAAACCTTTACTGGAGTTTGATGGATGGGGTTGATAGAAACCAAACCTTTTTACATTGTGAGACATCACATCACAGTGATGGATATTGGAGGTGAAATAGAACCGAAACGTCCATTGTTTACCCGGTAAATGTGCAATCTCTCCTATTGCAAGAGTAGGTATTAGGAAGATAATCATACCTTTATTTCTTAGATTTCATTTTTAGCTTTATAAAATAATTACCTGTGTGGGTGGCTCTAAATACAGACATGGCTATTAAACTCCTTTGGCAGTCAGCTTTACCTTCAATCACGTTTATTTAGTAAACTCTGTTTTCTCACCCTTGGGTTAAATCTTAAAAAGCATATGCTTTTATTTTAGACATGCTGGGAGGAAAAGACAGATCTTCCCCACTCCTCATATAATTCACTTTCCCCTTTGGGTCTCGATTTTCTCATCTGTAACATGAGGAATTGCATCAGATGATCAGTACGATCTCTTCCCATTCAATATCCCTCGAGTGTGTAGTTTACATATTCAAAGAATGTGTATGAAGACTTGAAAAAGAACATGTGACTAACAGATCTTTGTATTTAAGTGCATGGATTTCCTGTTCTTAAGAAGGGACTTGGGGAAACCAAATTTACACACATATGCTTTCCTATACTTATGTACTCTGTGCATATACAGATAACCCATTCTGGGTTATTTAGGAAAATAAAGTGTTTAGAAAAGGAAAAAAATGCAGGCTCTAGAGCAGTGTTTTTCAACTGTTTTTATGTCACGGCACACTTGCACCTATAACTTCCAGGGCACACTTAAATTATGTTGGTCAAAAAAAAAAAAAAGTAAAAAAAAGAAAAAGTATACTAACTGTGCTTTGAACTTATTTCCAAAATTATTTAATTGATAATCTTTAAAAACTTTCATGGTGCACCCCTGTGCCACAGCACACAGGCTGAAATTCACTGTTTTAGCAGAATATTCATGACACAGTTGTAAAATTGAGTGTTTCTGGCACCCAAACCAATACAGGCTGTTTGGATGCTGCATCAGGCTCACTACTTAAAGCGTCAGGTTTTCAGTCTTATGTAAAACTTCAGCGAGGGAGAATGGCAGAAAACAGTTGACCTTGAGAGGCTTTATTGAAACCGGGCTCTTTGGAGACTTTTATCACCTTTATCATCGCCCTTAAATGAGTGACAGGTGTTAGTGACATTTTCCCAGCAAATCTCCCTGTGAAAAGTCTAGACAGTGATTCAACCAGCTCTGCATCAGTGAGAGCCAGAATTAGAAGTCACGGTTTCTTGGTGAAGTTTCAGGCTATCCCTTGGACTTTTTTCATTGTATCATTTAGTAAGAGAAAGAGGAGTTTGCTTGAAAAATCTTGTTTCAGATTAGGTAAATTTAAATATCTCTGTGCAATCTAACAAGTTTTTAGAAATTCTTTTCATTATGACAGGCATGCAAATAAGATAATTCAAATGCATTTGAAATTTGCTTTTTGTAAGCAAATCTTGGAGAATTAAAAGGAAGCATCTGAAGTAGTGAGCTGATTGATCATAAGGTATTTTCAGGCCCTTAAAGGAGGTATTAGTAAAAATAGATAGAATGGCTGGATTTTTAAGCAGGTATTAGACACAGTCTGTTTAATGATGAAACAGAAACCCAGAAAGGGTAGGTGAATTGCTTGTGATCACTTAGTTAATTAACCAGAAACTCCTGACTCCTAGACAAGGTTTCTGAACTTGTCAAGGCATCCTTCCTGGAATTCATTCCAATGAGTGCTTACTTGTCCCAGGCACCGTGTGAGGCACTGGAGACACAAACATCCATGGAAGAAGGTTTTTGAACTCCCTGAACTCATAGTCAAGATGTAGGGAGGAGGCAAAAGAGAAGGACACCCAGACATGTTCAGGGGACAATGGGAGGAGGAGAGATGGAGGAGGGCTGCCTCAGCCTTCTGGGAGTCAGGAGAACCTGGGGGAAGAGGTGCTGCTTCACTTGCTGTTAGAGGGAGTAGAAATTCTACAGACAGATGAGAAGGCGGGGAGTGGGTAGAAGGCTTTCTAGGTAGGAACTACAAGTTCAGAATAGCAGAAGTTCAGTGTTCATAGGAAAAAGTGACAGGGAGGAGGTTGCAAGCGTACACAGGGGCAGATCACATGGCTCTTGTGAGTTACTCCAAGGGAATGCACTTCATTCCAAAGAAAATGAAAATTTTCAATATTGTTGCTTCTCCAAATTTTGCTGCTTTTATGTGGTCTCTGTATTGGCAAGTATACAAAGTGAGTATAGTCTTCATCGGCAGTAGGGGGCGCCACAGTAAAACTAACCACTGTCAGCCCCTTCTCCCGAAGAGTCAAGGTGAGAAAAGTTCTCAGGCAGTCAAGGGCTCATCCACATATGAGAGAATGAAAAATGTCAGGGGCCTAATATTAGTCACTGTTTAGAGAGTGATGCTGTTTTCTAAAGGAAAAATTCAGATACATGTTCTGACCCAAGTACTCAAACCAGGACAGAACAATTTGGATGGGGGTTGTGCTGGGAAACATCACACACATAAGCACATACAGACACAAATACACACCAACGGTAGTTGGGACGTGGACAGAAAGGTCTCAGAACAGGCTTAGGTACATAACCTTATTCCTGTTCTGTGACTCAGCCTTGCCCAGGCGCTGGCCACCCTGCCCTGCCAGTCATGTTTCTTTTAGTAAGAATTACTTTCCTGTCCTTCACTCG